AGGAGCAGTCTTCTGAACACCTGCAGTAAATGTAATTTTTTTTTTCCTTTTTCTATTTACAAATCTCAATGTGTAGCAATCAATACTAACATTTCCAAAGAAGCACTAAAATGCAGAACCTAAATGCATTATAAAGATATTAATTGAATAATTATCTTCCTTCAAAGATCCTTTGTAAAACTGGGTTATAACCTTTCAGTTGCAGAAATAATTTCAATTCTTGAAATGCCTCGTATTTTCATGTATTGGGCCACACTTTACCTGGTTGGACCATCAGAGTATTACACACAGAATTACTTTGGGGTGACAGAGTAGGACTTGTCTGACAAGTAAGCACATTTTTCTCCAAATGGACTCTTGGAGTGTTAGAAATATTCACAAATCCAAATAATTTGGGTGAATTGTTTCAGCCAAGAAATGCTGGAATGCAAAATTGTAAAAGGCAGAAAAGTTTAAACGAAACTAAATGTTGCCTTCTGGCATTTTAGTTATCAAACTTTTAATTTCAATCACCTTCTTGTTAAAAAAAAAAATTAATCAGTTGAATGTAAAAAGAACTTTTCCAAAATGTCCTAATCTTAAAAGCTGAATTGAAGCGAGCAGCAGCCTGCAAAAGCCAGGCCCCCAAGGCAAGGCTGTGCCACTGTCCCACCAGCCATGCTTGCTCTGCCCTCTGCATGGTCACATCCCAGTCCCCAGGCACAGCCAAGGTGGCACAGCCCGCAGGACTCATGCCACCCATGTCCTGGGATGTCCTTAGGAGGCCAAAGGGCACAACACACAGCCTCAGGGAATCCAGATGTCTACTACTAGGACAATATTAGGTCATTTAACCTTTTCTGTTGTAAACTACTCCAGTGCTACCAATTGCTGTAAGCGTTTCTGCCATAGCATCACCCACACTCGTATCCCTCTGCCTGGTGGTCTATGGTTTGGCATGTTTTTTAATTATGGATGTCCTGACATTCACAGGTTACAATTCATTAAACCTTCAGTTTTCATTTCTTGGAATGCTTCATGCCATGAAAGAGTGAGAAACAGTTCATCAGTACTATTACCTTATGAATGAAGCCTGGAATGCTGAGTACAAGATGTGTGTAGGAAGCCTGGGACCAGACATAGAGATTTTACAGTACATTTTGAGTAGTGAGATTGGGTCTTAATATTGTTCTGCAAAATATTTCACTTTTCTGAGAGGTTTCATTTCCTTTTTGAACATGTGCAGTTCAAAGGTCCTGCCTTTCCTACGAAGAGGAAGTGGGTAGAAAGAGGGGGTAACACTACAGCAACCACAGTGAGTCACTGTGATGCTAGAAATATAAATATCATGAAACAGCTTTCCAATTTAGCCTGTGATCAGAGCTCTTTGTGATGTTGTGGCCATATTCCTAATGCCTTTTCTGTTGATTTGATTAACTCTTTCCATGGTTTTCTCTATCAATTCTACTTTGGCCATGACTCACTGGGGCAATGATAAATTTCAGCAGTGGAACAGTCACTGGAAAATGAGTGAGGATTGTGACAGGTGTGAACCAAGTTAAATAGGACCAAGACTTTCAGCTGCAGTGAAAAGATCAAGAAAAGAGCAATTAGGAAAGAGAAGTATAGAAAGCCTTCAATACCTGCAAAGATGCTGCCCCTTCTTCCTTCAGACACATTCTGCACTCAACTATCTACATAAGGACATTTTGTGCTTCTAAAGGAGAGGCAGAAGAAGCAAATCTAAGACAAGCTGTACTTCAAAGAATTTACTGAGAAAATGTCCTGTACTGCACAATGTTCCTACAACGTGCAGACATTAATAATTTGGTAAAATTCACCTACTCTGGTGCTGTCGGAGCAGAGTAAGTAGTCATAGAAAAACTCTAGTTCTGCTGAAATAATTGTCACCCATAGGAACTCTTGCAGGAAAAGCTAAAGCACTCTCAAACTGCGTCACTTCACTCCTCTTAGCTGCAACATCAGCAAGCTTGAAACAGAGTCCTTCTCTGGAAAAGAACAAGGAAGTCCTTTCCAGGAAGAGAAGAAAAAGGCACTTTTCTATGAAGACTTTATCCGTGTGTGCGGAAACGTCCATAGAAGCAAGCATGGTGCTGTCACAGCTACCCCGAGAGCAGTGAACTAGGACTTGGGTCTAATTTCTGATACGGAAAACAACGTCTAGTGTTGTTCATTTTGCTAAATTATGCAGCAAATCACACACAGACCTCTCTGTGATTTCCCAGCAGTGGAAACTCAGCATCCGGACTGGGTGGCTGTCTTGTGAGACATACATTCCTGCATGTTGTCAGAACCATTCAATTCAACATCTTGACCCCTTCTGATCACAAGGGGAGGATGAGATACCTGTGTCCTGAAACTCTCAGTTACTGCAACAATTATTTGGCAAACTAGCATTTTATCAGGGACAGCTTGGTGTGTGGTAACCTTTATTTCATTGACAATGCTATTTGCTCATGTGGATGGCTACATGGTGGAGAGAGGCTCAGCCTGCCCAGGAAGGCTGGGGACAAATGGCTGTCAGCGTGCTCCTTTGTGCTCTTCTGTTCCCAGCCCTGCCTGCCAGAGCCAGCTCCGGGTGGGGATGATGTCTGCAGGGCTTTTAGAGCCAAGTCACATCCACAGACACACCACAGTGACTGGCTGCCGGGTGACCTGGGACCTGCCTTGAGTGCCATTGCTGCTGCTTCCTTCTGCACCTGTCTGTGCCCGTCATGTCCTGCCTGGGCAGGCTGAGAGAGATGTAACCTTCTGCAGAGCTCATAGCAGGGTTAAGTCTGTTCCTAAAGGGCAATATTGATGTTGAAAATAATTCTAAAAGATGTTTTGTCTGAACAATATCGTTACCCAAGCACAATCTACACCTTCTCATATATATTGAGGTATTTTTCCCCCTCTGTAACTTGTTTGGAGAGTTCTCAAACCCAGCAGACAGCACTCTTACCACTGTTTCACTGAGGTGAAGGACAGGAGATGCTGCTTTGAGGACTGCAGAGTCCTGTGCTCAGTTTGTGAGGATACAAAAGACTTGTGTGAAAGATTGTGCATAACATTTCTTTGCTTCTGAGAAAAGCTTTCTGAGAACCCCATGTTGAAACACAGATGTAGGTTAGTATCATGGCAAGTGTGTGAGTGGCACCTTGAGGACAGGACAGAAAAATCTTGGGGCTTTCCTGGATTTTATTTTGGAGAGCATAAGAAAAGCTGGTTTG